GATCATATCTTCAACCTCGTTCGACGAATTATCCATCGAAAGATATGATTGATGCAAGGAGGGGCCATGAAACAGTCAATTGCTTAAGATATGATTCTAACGTTGGAAGCAAGGCAGAAACTAAGCTTCTTAGAGGGTCTTGTATGTTGAACATGTTTAATATGAATTCCACAATGTCCGAAAAAGCTACCAATTTCGTTCGGACTTGGATTTCTTTTGAGAAGTTTGAGGAGCAGCTTTTTTATTTTTTTTATCTTTGTTGGGCAATGGCGGAAAATTCTTGCTGCATCCAGGGATTGGATCAACAGGAGTCTTCGGTTTTGTTTTTTCATCCCCATTACCCTGGGAATTTAGCAATCGTCTGGAGGTGACTTTAGTTTTCTTACGGCGCACTTTCGGGGAGGGGCATTTTCTTTTTGAGGAACCGTCCATTTTTGAAGGTGCGTGTACCACCGTAGAATCACCTTCATCGGATGAGTCAGAGTCCGATTCTTCAGCTGACAAAACCGAAAATTGGTTTGCATCTTGGACGGCTGATGCAGCCTTCAACATTTGAGCATATGTCTGCTTGGAGCGTCCAGAGATTGAACGCTGCTTTATCGGAGTGCTGTTTGTACATCGGGCACTCCTGCAAGGGGTGAGGATTCTCGCCACAGTAAGCGCATTTTACTGATTCTTTGTGGCAAGAATCCTCTTTGTGGTTTCCACCACATTTGCCACAACGAGTTTTGTTGCCGCAATGGCTGGCCGAGTGTCCCAGCCTTTTGCAGTTGGTACAATTATATACCCTCTGTACAAACAGTCGCACCGGAAAAAAAGCACCATCAATTTTAACAAAGTTTGGGAGAACTGAACCTGCGAAAGTCACCCGGAACGAGTCTGAATGTTTATAAACTTTTTTACCGTCTAGCAAAGATGCTGAATGCAGTTGCCTTACATCCAGTATCTTCACTAGCGCGGTAGCGAATGTCGAGTTTTTAAAAGTTCCCGAGGCATGTTTCAAGTCCTCGACAGTCAGACTCGCGTCGGAGACCACGCCTTCTATCTTCACATCTCGAGAAGGGATGTAGATGTTATACTCAACACTAAAAAGCTCGTGTTCAGCAATTTTATTTGCCACATCATAAGTCGGTGCTTCTACACGCAGTTTGTTGAATCTTTCTTTGTGTACCAAGATTCCCGGATACTTACGCAGCAAATCTCTCGTTATGTCGAGAGTTTTCAAAGGTTTATTTTTGGGCCGAAAAAAGACAACCCATGGTCCTTTCGAAGACGGTTGATAGTATCTGGTTCGCGTAACGTAGGCATCGGAAGATGCCATAAGTGTTGCGGCAACCACTTAAGAAGGAAAAAAAATTAAAACCTTCACTAATTAATTAATTTTAATTACTAGTAATTAAATTTTTTGCCCGACATACAAACAAATCAAAAAGAAAAAAAATATCGAAAAAAAAAAAACTTATATCCACTTGCAAAAAGTTGTCTCACTATGACCCATACTCCCCTACCAGGGGTGAGAGACAGAGTCACGCGCCACGAGGCAAAATTAAACTACAATAGGGAGGCAATGGACTTGCAAAATGTATTGTCTAATACTTATGTCGGTTGTAAACAACCTATCAGCCGTTGCAGCTAGATGGTCCGTTTGCTGCTGCTGGTGGCGATGGTTGGTGTTGGTGGGTCGGCACGATGATGATACAATGATGAAAAAATGGCTTGACGACCGGATGGATTACCGGGGTGAATTAAAGCTGGATGGCAACTCCAAGGGGCTCGGCCCATGGAATTCCTTTCCTCTGTTGCACACTGGTCACTTGGGGCACCCAATGGGGGGGTGAAAAAACCGCTCGGGCGGAAAAAACACCGAAAAAAACTAGATGCCGCGCGACTGAGACCGGGACGTTGTTAACCGACTGAGTGTTCAACTAGGAATGAAGCCCCTCTCTGATGAACCACTGCATGAGAGAACCAAAGATCTAGTTCAGCAGTCATAGTATCACACGTGTTACTCCTTTGATTGAGAGCCGCGTCGTAGTACACTTACGTATAGGCAGTGACGTTGGGTGTGATACTTGCGGGTTTTGTTGCAAATCATTCTTATTTTATTTATTTTTAAGCAGATAGATTTATTTGGGTTTGCAAGGGAATTATACTATTGAAATATTTCAGAAAGTGCCCAACGGTGCTCCTTCTACTTGCGTGACAAGCTTTCATTGTTGTTTTCATTGAAGTATTACTCAGGGAACAATGATAAACATCATTTTTTTACATGGTATTGTAACTAATCTTATATGTGCTTCATTTTGATTTGGGATAAATGTTTGAACTATGGCTCGGGATTTCCACTGTGGCGTGCTTCTATTGTGACATACCCATACGTATTTTTGTGGTGCGACATAGTGGAAGCGTGTGAGCATAGTTGGAGCATATACCCTATATAATTTAAAAATCAGCTAGGAATCTAAATTCAAAATGAAGCATTTTAGTCACATGAAGGTGTTACCTGGGTCGAACTAAGATATAATACATAGGTATAGGCCAAAATCAAAAGTACTTGAAACACGTTTAATTTTACATTACAAACACAAGTACAGGTACTTAATAAAGCATGGGTTATGATTGATTAGGTGAATAAGAGCTTTTAATAATTTATTAAATTAGACTAATGAGATATCATAATCTTCAAATGAACTTAAATAAGAAATTTCAGAAAGTCTAATGACATTAAGAAGATTAACAACTTAATTAGGGAGGTAACTATCCTTTAAAGTTGTAGAATAAATCTTCTTATTTAGTCTTGAACTTTAATAAGAAAACGCAAGCAGACCAATAGCATTAAGCAGATTAACAAGGAGAGGAATAGTTTAGGAAATAAGTAAAAGTAAAGGTATGTGACAATTAATAACTTTTAAACTTTTGGAGGTATTGTATTCCCCTGAGTTTGTTGTACTTGTTTACTATATTATTCTCTCAATACGCGAAACCTCTTATATATGCGGTTAAAGCACAGACAAACAGACATAACACATTGAATATTTCTCACTGTAAAACATCGTCGCTAAAACATTACCGCCATCTGTTGAGTACACTGTGGTGGGTAGTACGCTGAACAGATGGCGATAGTGTATAAACGTCAAACGCAAGGGAACTGACTATGCGCGCCATAGGTGGCGGTACTACCAACTACGATACTTTTAAATTGACCGTTAAATGCTTGTTCGATGAACAACTTGCTAGTGTTATGTCTGTTTGTCTGTGGTTAAAGTATTTAAAGTTAACTTATTTCTTAGTGTTCAAGTACTTACATTTGTAAACAGCAGTCAATATTAATCTATGAACTAAATCCTACGTAAAATCGATCTTTCCTTATGTGGTATTTATGCATGTTTAACTTTTCGCGGCTGTCGGAATCAACGCGCCTACGTTACGTCTACGGAGCTTACGCAGAAGTGATTCGCAATGCGGTAGAGCTCACCAAAAGTTTTTTTGAGCTTCTGTAGTATAGAATTTGTTCGGTACGGTCGCGAAATCTTGAAATGATTGATACGTGCGGTAAAATAAGTAAATTGAAACAAAGCTCAACAGTAAAATAAGTAGAAGTAGGGAGGAAATCAAAATTAATCAACTTGCCAACATAGGCTATCACATTTATTTTGGTGGCACTCTTTAAGTGATAATCAGCTGTTTTTTCTCTACGGTTGTTTCGCGTGGCGTTCACAATTTGCGCGATTTTCGTATCTTACGTAATTTAGATGTTTAGCTCTAAACGGTTTTACTGACTCGAGGTCGTTCCTTAAGCGGTGTTGGTACAGGTTAAACCTTTGCCGACCGTCTACGGAGCTTATGGAGAAGTGATACGCAATTTGGTAGAGCTTGTCAAACGCTTTTGAGCTTATGTAGCATAGAACTTGTTCGGTACGGTCGCGAAATCTTGAAATGGTTGATACGTTCTTTAAATTAACTAATTTGATACAAAGCTCAGTAGTAAATAAGTAGAATATCTAGGGAGGAAACCAAAATTAATCAACTTGCTATACATATATATATAGGCTATCACATTTATTTTGGTTGCACTCTTTAAATGATAATAAGCCTTTTTTCTTGCTTCTGTTGTCTGGCACGGCTTTCGGAATTCGCGCGGTTTTCGTAACTTACATAATTTAGATATTTCGTTCGAAACGGATTTACTTATTCAATCGGTTTACTACGCGGATGTATCTACGCGCACACGTCACAGCATTTTTTTTTCTATAACTATCTTGAAACAATACACACGGAATCCAGTCTTCAAGCGGCCAACATAGACTATTCCTTCTGCTGTATTGTCAAAGATAGAAACACAATTTATTCAAATGGGTCAAGTCTAAACTAAGCTGTCACGCAGCTCCAGCTTGATACCCAATAAAAAAAATCAGTGAAATATCTGGAAGTCGATGCAGGAGTGCATAAACTGTCCAATTCCGTGGCAGTTTCAGTACTCCTGCATTGGCTTCCAGATGTTTCATTTATTTTCACCTTGATGTTCACAACGGTTTTCTCGAGAGTTTTCTGTTACCACACAGAGATTTCCGAGGTAAAGTGCGTGAGGTGAAACGGAGGAGGATGACACAGGAAAGTTGACTTACTGGTGGAGGATCAGCAATTTTGGAATTTCGTTTGATGGACTGTTCAGTAAAACATAATGTATACTGAAAATTCGGTACCCTATTTTACTGAGTTTTAGTCATTCACCGTAAATGCGTAATCGTAAAATTGAACATATTCGTAGTTCTTTGGCGAACGTTTCAGCTCAATTGATCAGAAGTTAACAAAATTACATCGTTACATCATGTCAAAGTTGACCGTTTTGTATGAAAATCGGCATGCGCTGATATTTTATCGAACACAGCTGTAGATATGTCCTTATTAGATTCAAGGCTGTGCTGTATATTTTTAATATTAAAAAAATCAGCGCATAATGCATATAAGTAGTAACACTTTTTATATAATTCATATTGCAGGGGAGCGTGAGCTTGTAGAATTCCTGACCGAAGAAATTGTCGCAGAAAAAAAGGCTCAAAAGAAAAAAACTCTTCCGACCGAAGTTGATGGATTCAAAGTAAAATTAAACGGAGCAGATGTTGAACTAACCAAACACTCGGACAAGGAAAAGTAACACATCCATAATATTTTGTGATTTGTAAATACCTTAATGTAGTTCAAATTCCTTTTTAGAATTGTTATCTCTTTCAATGTAAATCATACAGTTGATGCTGAAGATGAAGCTGAAGTTGATCCGTCTGCAGATAAACCGGAATTTGCCGAAATGAGAAGCAAACCCCAGTTTGAAGTTGACATTGTCAAAGGTTCTCAGACACTCAGTTTTACATGTTCCTTCCTTCAGGGTGAGGCACAAGAAGGCGAGTATAGTAAGTTTAGTCCAGCAGTGAAGGACATTAATATATAAAAAACTGATTTTTTCAGATGATGTGTTTGGAATAGATGAGATTACAGTTTACGAGGGCGAATGGAACAATACAATGTATGCAGTGGCTGGAGATGTTCTGGATGGAGTAAGTTCTCCGTTACTTTTATCTAATGTTTGTGTTAAAATGTTTAAAATTTTGTTTCAGTATCTATACGACTTACTCATGAACTTTCTAGAGGAAAAAGGCATTAGCAACGAATTTGCAGAGAAACTTTCTGACTTCAGTACTGCATATGAACATTCTGCTTACATAAGTTTACTGGAAGGCATTTCTATGTTTACCATTGAAAAGAAATAATTGCTTAGTATCTGCAGCATTTGTTGAGCATAATCAAAACATTACATGCATACTGCATTTTACCTTACATTTTTAAGAGTGTGTTTATTGTTTTCCCGAAAAAAAATTGTCCATTTGGTTCTATAACTACACGTCCGATGACAGTAACTCAGTAACAACTTAAAATTGCAAGAAGTGGGTTACTTAAAGCCCTCTAGTTAGGGCTTTAGGGTTACTCAGTTAGAGTAAAATGTACCTCACTTTTCCGGGAAAAACTGCTTGACTATGAGACTTCCAGGCGAATGAGAACAACTCAAATTTGAGGTTAGTTAACTCAAATCACAAAGTGCAGGAATTCAGCGATAAGTAAATTAGCCGAGGGGCTCGCAATACAAAGAACTGGTGCGTTGAAGTTAAAATGCAATCAAAAGTACTTAAAGTAATTAATGCGTTTTGAAGTAGTACTGACATTCCGCATCGAACGTTCGACTGTTTCGGTCTAGTGTTGCTTGCACTCCGTTATCAGTACATACTAGTTTTTTTCCCCTATTGAGGTTTTTTTCAATCCGCTATCACTTTGAGTGGTGTTATAGTATACAAAAGTGTAGTGAGCATCGCGGAATTGCATTTGCCGCACAACCGTTCGAGAAAGGAAGCAGTCAAGGCCGACGCACAATTGATACGTTTTCGGGTTTTTTGACAGATAATGCATGGGTTAACTGTCAAAAAACCTGAAAACGTATCTATTGTGAGCCGGCCTTCATTTACGGCCGAGTCCGGCAGATGAGCTGTTCATCTTTAGCCAACAAATATCATCGCATCACGCCACTGCAACATCAAGGTCATCGAGTTCACCAGCCGGCCAGCCAGCCGTTGCTTTGTTGCAAACACTCGAGGGCAACAATAGAACGATCATCACCATCATTCTCACATCAGTAGATCATCGTCATCAGCCACACTCCGTGCGCTTGTGTGGAGAGTTAAGTAACAAACGGTTATCTTCCGTTCTCCGCAACCTGATTAATCTCCATACAGCGTTGATTAACTTTTCTGACACCTTTTTGTTTTTTTTTCCTGAAAAAGTTTTCATTTTTTTTTTCTTTTTCACTAGCGATTTTTTTTTGCAATCTAATTAATCTCCTTATAGTGTTGATTAACTTTTCTGACACCTTTTTTTTTCCTGAAAAAGTTTTCATTTTTTTTTTCTTTTTTTTTCACTTACTGTTTTTTTTGCAGTCTGATTAATCTCCCTATAGTGTTGATTAACTTTCCTGGCACATTTTTTTGCTTTGTTGGATTAAGTATTATTTTTACCGTTTTATTTTCTGAATAAGTTTTTTTCGTGTATTTTTTTTAATTATTAATATTTTATTTTTTTTTTTTTGTTTTCTTTACGCATTTTTTTTTGTTTATGTCGAAATCTGTTGCGGAGGTACTTAAGACCCCGCAATGGATGAAACCAATGATGGCGGGGGTATTTCGCTAGCAGATATCTCCGATGATGAGTCTGTTAAATCTCCTTCATTCGAAAATCTGCTTCTCACTGAAGAGAAAATGGATACCTCAGGGGACTCTACTTCGGACCCCAAAACGAGCACTGGAGCTTACCCAAAGGTGATGACTAAACAACAGCCTCCTGCACCCCCTGCCCCCCCTTCTCCACCATCGCCCCCTCGTCCACCTGTTCCCCCTACTCCAACCGTTCTCTTAAAAATTTCTGCGACCCCCCGCCATAAAGCTTGCCCAAGCGGCTCAAAAGGTCTTTACTCATCGCTGAGTTCCTGCACTTTTGGCGATTATGAGTGAATTAAACTCAAATTTGGGTCGTTCTCATTCGCCGTGCAGGTTTGTCTACACGCTAAGATCAGATAACCCAAATGTAGGTTTACTTTACCCAAATTAGGCGTAAACTGCACAAACTCAGATATAGGTAAATTTTTTAACCCAAATATGGGTAAATTTAAGTCAAATTTGCATAAAAATAAATCATTTATGGTTCATAAGAACCCATATTTGGGTTAAAAAAAATTACCCATATGTGAGTTTGTGCAATTTACGGCCAATCTCGGTAATCTGTTTGTACCGTCTAGGTAAACTGATCTTAGCGTGTAGGAAAAACTTCCCGAATATTGAAAAATAAAGATTGGATTCACTCAGTCTATTGGTACTACTCATAGACTGAGTAAAATTTTCGTATATTTTCCTCATTTTCCGGCAGATTTTTCTGGTCTTCAACACACGGTGAATGAGAACGACCCAAATTTGAGTTTAATTCACTCATAATCACCAAAAGTGCAGGAACTCAGCGATGAGTAAATTTGCCTCATGGTTTTCTGTGGAAAACCTAAAAAATCTGCCGGAAAATGAGGAAATTGACGAAAATTTTATTCAGTCTCGGAGTAGTACCAATAGACTGAGTGAATCCAATCTTTACTTTTCTCAAATTCGGGAATTTTTCCCTGGAAAATTTACTCATCGCTGAGTTCCTGCACTTTTGGCGATTATGAGTGAACTAAACTCAAATTTGGGTCGTTATCATTCGCCGTGCAGAAAACCATTAGGCAAATTTACTCATCACTGAGTTCCTTCACTTTTGGCTATTTTGAGTGAACTAAAATCAAATTTGGGTTGTTCTTATTCGCCGTTTATGATGAAAATCGACCAACATAAAGCCCTACAGTAAAAGTATGGACGACTGTCACCACAAAACTGAAAAAAGCTGTTCCAATCGGGCAAAGCGGTGCATTTTGACGGTTCGATTGGAACAACTTTTGACAGACGTTCATACTTTTACTGTAGGGCTTTAGACCAACAACGATCAACGACTCACGCTAACTTGGGACGCTAAAAATCTCTTAAATAAAGAATTTAAAAAAAAAATAATAATTGCAACGCAGAAACCTGGATAGTACGTTCAGACTACAGAGTTATAACATGTTATAGCGCTATCTTGATGGTGGTTTCTGTGTTGCAATTATTTGACAACCGTTATAACATGTTATAACTCTCCAGTCTGGACAGCGTTTGAACGTACTATTATAGTACGTTCAGACTACAGAGTTATAACATGTTATAACTCAACCTTATGACAACCGTTATAACATGTTATAACTCTCCAGTCTGGACAGCGTTTTAGTGTGTATATCAGGTGATATACGCTGTCTTGCAATGAGCACTCATACATCTAGTTTTCACTGGAAATCCTATCTATGAGTGCTCATTGCAAGACAGCCTATATTACGTGATATACACACTTAAAAATTATCGCCGAATTCGGTAATTTTTACCGAAATCTGAACAGCTGGACTGTTTGGTAAAATTGATGCAATTCAATTCAATTGCTTTTCAGCTACTTTGAAACTAAATCTCCACTAGAATGACAAGATTTGATCATTTAAACAAGGTTGAACATGTTTTAAAATTATTTTCAAATTCAATCGCCTTTAAAATGAAGGTCAAAGTTTTACCGAATTCACCGATATTTACCGAACACGGAACCAAAATCTTAGTGTGTAGGCTGTAATATGAACGGGGTATAATACAATGAGCTTTATACAAAGGTGAGGAAATCCGCACTAATACACACAAATCGATCAGCTGATTAGTGTTGTTTACTTTTTCTTCTCGCGTTGCCTACGTCACCATTTGTGTTTATGTTTTGATACTAGCAGTTTTTTCATCGCCGCTCGGTGTAAGTTATTTGTTTAAATCGTTTTAGCCAGTGAATCTCTCGTAAATAATGCCGAAGTTTGCAGTGAATGTGTGTTTGTTTTCTTCTGTGGAAGAACCTTGAGCTTCCATGTGTTTCCGAAGGACGGTAAAGCGCGGTCCCAATGGGTCAAATCTTGTGGACTCAACAGTGACCCGGGAAAAACCCTGTATATTTGCTCGCAGCATTTTTCCAATGAGTGCTTTATAAATAATGCCACCATCCAAAATATGGTGATGCCAGCAAGGCACTAAACATACTAGTAAAGAATGGTAAGTTTTTAAATTTTTACGTCACCCGTATTAATATTTATTAGCTTTTATTGTAGCGTGTCCCACCATCTGGAAACCATGTGTATCGGTATCAAATGCATCATGTCGTGAAAAACGACGTTCATTGAAAGAAAGGAAAGAGATGATAGAGGCGCTTCTCGAGGTACACGAAAAACAACAGCATGAATCCTGTTCACAGAAGCCTTCTGAATGTTTTGTTCCAATGTCGGATGCAACTGAGCAGACTGAAACTGTCACTGTCAGCTCCGGATCAAACTTTGATGTCCTTCTGGAAGCAATCGAATTATCGGGAGGAGTGCATGATTCTGGATTTTTCGACGTCGATGCAAGTCTGGTTGATTCCATTCACGTTCGTGCCGATTTAGAATCCACCCGCATTGAGCATTCCTCTAGCACCCCCGCTGCAACCAGTGCTACAAAAGTAGGAAATCATGTTGCAAGATTAAACAGCCAAGTACGGCGCATGAAAAGTACGATTCAAGTACGAAACGATAAGATCAAGAACTTGCGCTTGCGGGTAAGTCTTTTTACTACAATGAAAATCGATAATAAAATGCTTCATCCACAGACAAACAGACAACACTGCATGCCAATCATCATTTATTCATTTAAGGGTCGATTTATATGTTTATTTGTCCTCACTGGTGGGACGCGTAGGCATCTAATATGGAGATCGATGCTCCACTCTTCCGCGATCTATTGAGTGCTCTGATATCCACAGTGTGCTCAACAGATGACGGTAGTGTCTTATAGCCGATGATTTACAATCGAATTTGTTCATGGTGTTATGTCGGTTTGTCTATGCTTCAACCTTAGCTTATACATTTTTTTCTAACAGGTGATGTAGAACAACCAAAAATTCATCGCGCTGATGAACGTGATTAAAACAAAAGACAAGGAGTTGAAAGAGAAAGAACGACAACTCTGCGAAAAAGACGGTGCTTTGGAACATCTTCGAAAGGCCTGTGGTGAGCTCAACGATGTGAGAGAAGCCCACATAACCCAGCGTGTGAGAAAAGAGTTTGCCAAAGTTTTCACAGAGAACCTAATTGATTTGATACTTGGCA